TTAGTGGTGGTATCGGTCGTGATATCGATAGCGACATCGATGATGACATCGACAGAGAAACCGATGGTATCCAATAGTGAGAGCGATCGTGAGATCGATCGTGCGAACGTTCGTGAGATCGATCGTGGAATCGATGGTGAGGTCGATGAATATATGAATCGTGCGATCGACAGTGATATCTATAATGGCATCGATCGTGATATCGAGGGCGAGGTCATTGAGGTCGATTGTGAGGCCGAATGAATGCGATGCGTGGCGAGATCGATAATGACATCGATAGTGGGATCCACGGGGGGTCAGGGAACTGGAGACCCCAAAATTGGAACCCCGGGAACCCCGGCGCCCGCCCGACCTCGCCGCCCACCGAACTCGGCTCAGAAGCAGAAACCGGAAACCCGGGAACCTGGAACCAGAAACCCGGGATCCCGGGAACCCAGCCTCCGACCGAAGTCGGCCCGGAGTTTGCGCCGCATTTTCCAGTGTCCGCTGGGGCCCCTTCAGTGCAAACGCCGATTGGGGAACAGTTGCGGCGCGCGATTCGGGCGAAAATGCGCGCCAAACGCCGCGCAGGGATCAACCGCGCCGACTACCGCGATCAGAACAAGATCGCCAGCATCAAATCACGCGGGTGAGGTTTTATTATATTGTGCGGAGGGCGCTCTCGGCAACGCGCGTTGCGACAGACGGGGATATGCGGGTGTGCTTGTGGAGTTCGACGGGGAGTTGCATATGGGCGTGCGCCGACGTAATGGGAGTAACGATTTGACTGCAAAGCCCCTTGTTGCGTCCAGCACGATCGCGCGATTTACCGCGGAAGCTGACGGCGCCTGCGCGACAGCTGAAACCTGCAAAAGCCACCGACGCGAAGGGGGTAGCAGCTGAAACGCTGGAGCACGGAACCCATGATCTGTGCGAAATTGTCTCCATGATGCGCAACGACGCAACTAGCAGGACTGCGCCCCCAGCAGATTCGCGGAAGCATGCATTTGTGAAGGTAGTGCGTGAGAGTAGAATGGCGAAGTTGCCGCAAAATTACCGTTCTAGTTCAATCGCGCCAATGCTTCGCGCATTCTCGCGTCTACTATGCAACCGGCTGCTGCGAATATTTGATCGACGACAAGGCCTAGATCGAGCGGGCTTCCGGCCGAAGCGCGCCAGCGACAGACCGAGCCGTTGCCGTCGCTATTCTGCGCGAGACACCGCGCGAGTGGCACATTCCAGCGCGGGCAGCTGCAATGGATTTTATGAAAGTGTTCGACGGCGCCACTCATCGAGGAAGTTGGGCCCGACTGCAACATCAGGGCGTTGGTGGAGGATGCTTGTAGTTACTTTGGAGCATGCGCCGGGGTGCTCATGGCCCGCGCGCGCCGATCGCGCAAGCGCCGCGCTCGCGATTCAGCGAGGCGCCCAAAAAGGCGACCCGCTCATCTCACTCTTGTCTAACAGTCTGTCGGAGTATATTCTCGGGCGCTTGAAATCCAGATGCAGTCGCGCAAAACAGGGAATGCAGTCGAATCTGTCGCGCGAGAAGAGGCTGACGCATCTATGCTTCGTAACTGATATTTTGGTCCTGGCGCCGAATCAGCAGCAAATATCTTGCTTGATAGGGGGGCTGTGCCAGGAAGCCAGCTGCGTTGGATTGGCGCGGGAAAAATTAGTATATTTCTCAGCGACCGCTGCCTGCGCTGGCGCGCCCAGATCCCAGGGCGTGCTCTTTTCGCTGGAATTGACATTGACATGTTGAAAGTGGGCAATCGCACGAAGAATTTGGGAATACATTCATGTATCCATGATTTGAACCGCACAGAAATAGGGAATCGCATTGCCGCAGAGTGGAGATAATCCCACGCCGTGCAGTAGGAATTGACAGGGCGGAGTGTCCTCTGAAGGGCAGAGTTTGATTTTCCAATGGAGATGTGGCACCTATGATGCTCCTCAGCTCTGAGGCCTGGGCAATGACCGAAGACATTGAGATCCAGGTTATGCGGACGCAGATACAAGTACCACGCATGGAAATGCATCTACCCAGGAGACGGATAGCAACAACGACATCGCCATCATCGCAACATTGTGCACAGAGAGCATCGAGGAACGCTTCGTCTGGGCGGCCAGACAGCGGCGGCGATGTCTCAGGCGATCCCTTTCCTGCCCACGACCGCACAGCAGTCGACGACGACTGCGAGACGGGGCTTGGGTCCTGGGTGGATTTGGCGAAGCGCTGCGCGTGGGATACCGAGACACAGATGCGCAATTTACAGGTTGAAGATTGGGTTGCAAATTGATGTGTTTCTGTGTCTCCGGAAAGTTGCCATGGCACGGCCATCGGATTGGGCGGTGCGAGTGTCATGGCGGGACTCATTTGAGCATCCAAATTTGAGCGCACGGAGACGCCAATGTAGACTAACAAGAGAACTATTGGATTCCATTCTCTGTTATCACGGCTGCCAGCGGAAAAGTGGAATTATCCGGCGAAAGCGAACTTACAATGGGATCGAATCCGGATGGTGCCTGGCATGTTCTTGCCGATCTTGCAGTGGCAGATGCGTAGTCCGAGTTAGAAGACGCAGTGGCTCCACAGTGGGGCCACAGTGGCTCCGCAATGGCTCCAGTGGGTCCAGAGAGCTGCCGCGTGCAGCCGATTTTGGCCCCGCCAGCGGGCGCTTTGCACGGCCGCCCCCGGCGGCCAGGGGTGCCGGCCTTCCCCTCTGCTTCCCCCCCCCCTCTCCAATCCCCCCTGTGGAGCCTTGGCTTCCCCCTCAATCCTCCCCCCCCATCCCCGAGTCAGAATATGATGTGTACAGGTGCGGTGTTTTCATGTTTCAGCTGGGTTTCGCACGCCAATCATTTCCCAGGTTCTTCGGCCCCGCCCCGCGGCGCCCGAGCCGCGTCCCACCCCGCGGTCCCGAAAGCTAGGCTGCAGCATGCCGGTGAGCAACATGGTAGAGCCAGCCTGCCCCGAGCCTCGCGTGCACCTCGTAGAAAGTCGAGGGGGCAGGCAGTTTCGCCTCCCCATCGCCTTCTTCCGTTTTTGTTTTGTTTTGTTTTTCTTTGTTTTTTTTGTTGTTTTTGTTTTTGTTTTTGTTTTTGTTTTTCCTGTTATCTTCCTCTTTCTCCTCCAGCTCATCGTCGCGTCCCAGTCAATCCTCCTCTCCTCCTGCGTTATCCTCCTCTTTTATCCCCTCCTCCTCCTCTCGTTCAGCCTCTGCTTGCCCTTTTTCGTCTTGCCTCCCGTCCATCATCATCCTTTCTCCTTGTCGCATTGGTGCCTCCTCCTCCTCCCTCCTTCCCCTTCCCCTTGTTTCTGCTGCTGCTGCAGCTCCTCATCCCCCTCCCCATTGTTCCTGCTGCTGCTGCAGTCCACCCGCCTTCACCCTGCCTCCACCGCGCTGCCCTTCTTACGGTAGTTCACGTCGTTTCGACCGGCGGCGACCCCCATGCCGGCATTTGACGTTGAACGCCGCCAGCGACACATAATCGGTCGATGATGCACGATCGGACGTTCCGGAAACTGCCGATCGTTCAAGGTTGAACGATGCCTGCAGTGTCGGGGATCAGTGCCGAAGTCGGCACGACACGAACTTGCCGCACCCGGTGTTTTCATTGTCCATCCCTCCCCGCTGCTCTCATCCGCCCTCCCCCCCCGCGCCCCCAGCCCGTCCTCCACCTCTTTGTGCTCACGATCCTCCTCCTGCACTTCTTGCATCTCCGTGTCTTCGCCCTCCTCTTCCTCCTCGTTTTCCTCCTCCTCCTCCTTATCCTCCTCCTCCTCCTCCTCGTCCTCGTCCTCCTCGTCCTCCCATCCTCCTCCTTTTTCTCCTCCTCCTCCTTCCTCCTCTTCCTCCTCTTCCTCCTCTTCCTCCTCTTCCTCTCTCCCTCCTCCTCTTCGTTCTCCTCCTCCTTCTCTTTCTCCTCCTCCTTCTCCCTCCTGCGGCTGCTGCTGCTGCTTCTGATCCGTGTCCCTCCTCCTCCCACCCTTCCCTGCCGCCTCCTGATTTGGGACGCTGATCTGGGAAGCCCTTGACGATTTCGAGTTTGGGTTTCAGGTCCGCAAGGTCAAAGGGCATGCCAGTGTCGCGGATGATGTCCAATCCGACGGTGTCCGATATTTTCGCCTGGGCAATCGGCAGGCCGACTCTGCGGCCAGAGCGGGCACCCCAGGAGTTGCGAGGCCGAGAAGCGGTTCATGGGTCGCACTCTTTGTGCAGGTGGTTGGCAAGTACCTCGGGAGATTCGTCCACACCTTTCTCTATCCCCAACAGGATCGCAATAGGGTCCTGGTTGAGAGGAAGCTGTTTCGTGCACCTATGCGCGGCGCCCAGGTTGACGGCCGCTACGACTTTGTAAAACTGCGCGGGCGGTATGGCTGCATGCGGCGCATGCGTAGCGGCCTTGTCCCATCGAGCCTCCCAGCCAAGTGCGGGGCTGAGTGGGGAGGGCACAGGCTGTGGACGGTGTACCACTATGTGTTTTGTAGCGCTTCAGCTATTCTTGCCAAAACGCCGTCTCCCTAACCAAGGCTTGCTAGGGAGGCGTCGTGCGAGGCTCGGCCACGGTGTTTCGATTCAATCGTTTATGGGAGTCGCGAGACCCTCGGACTGGCTAGCCGCTCACGGACGATCGGCTGGTGTCATTGGGTTCGCTCGTCTTGGACTCGCGTCTTGTGGACGTGTTGGATCCTTCTGACGGTGCCGCTGACATGGCCCAAGGGGACGACAGCGTCGTTTTCGACGTTTTCGGCTAGGCGGTCGGTTTGGCCGGCTCAGCCGTCTCAGGCCGCTTCCGCTGCCCCCCCTCCTCGCTCCCCCTTGACTCCGACTTAGCGCTCCGAGTCGACCTCATTACCCTTCCTCCTGTTCTTTCTCTGCGAGGTTGGTAATTCGCACCATGCGCATGTGGCCTTAAGGTAGTAGGCCACTCAGGCCGCGTTCAGCGCAGCAGGTCTAGCTCGCCAGGCAAAACGCCCTTTTCCGCCGCCTCCTCTTCATCCCCCCTGGTCTCAGGCGATGCTGGCGGGCGCCTCGCGCTGGATGCTGCGCAGCGGTTCCCGCGCTGGCAGCAGGACCCCCGATGACCCCAGAGGGCCCAGAGCGACGGGAACCGGCGGGAACAGGCGCCGATACCGATGGCGCGGTCCCCTGCCTCTCTCTCCTCCCTCTCCTCCTCCTACTCCTCCTCCTTCTCCTCCTCCTCCTCCTCATCCTCCTCCTCGAGCCCGTTTCTTTAGAGCTTGGGGCATGACGGGCGTCATGGCCCCCGCTCCCCCCCCTATGACGCAACGCTCCCCCCCCAGTGCGCTCCCGGCGCTGCCGCCGTGCGCACTGGGATCCGCGTAGGTGTCCGCGTAGGAATCCGCATATGCGTCTGGTCCGCAGTCGTCGTCGTCGTCGTCGTCGTCGTCGTCGTCGTCGTCGTCGTTGTCGTCGTCGTCGTCGTCGTCGTCGCTCGTGGCTTGTCGCTCGTCGCTCATAGTCGTCGTGCGCGCGGACGCGGCTGAAGCCTGTTTTTGATTCTGGGCCGATGACGGCAATCATCTAGGGGGGTGGAGGGGGTCGATGGCATCACGTTTCGCGCCGGCGGCGTCTGGGAATGTTTAGGAATGACGAAGGACGGGTATTGCCAGCATGTAGGTAGCGATTTGCACCACCACGCCTGTGTACACCACAGTGCCTGCGTGCACCGCAGCGCCTGTGTATACCACACCGCCCATGTACACCACAGCAGCCGCGTGCAACACAGGTTCAATTTGTGCCACCGTGCCTGCGGGCACAAGAGTTTTTGTGCACACCGCGTACACCACATCAGCCGTGTGCAACACAGCACCAGTGTACACCACAATGCCTGCGTGCATTGCACTGCCTGTGTACACCACGGCGCTTGTGTGCACCACAGCAACCGTGTGCAACACAGTACCACTGTTGTATGTACAATGTTAGTACGAATCCTTCTGACAAAATGGAGCGCTTGTGGATTCCATGGGAAACAAAATAATAATCGTTGTGGACAACGGGGGGCCGCTGGGATTTACGAATCCTCCCGAGTCCGCCCGCATCACCCTAAGTCCTCCTATCTGCGTCCAGGAGGCTCCAGCTAAATTGGCCGTCCGGGAACCAAGGGGACCGATTCAATAGACCATTGTGCGGTGCGCGCTGAGATGCGCACGTGCGGTTTAGCGCCAACCCGCACGACAAGGGGTAAGGAGGAGGAGGAGAAACAATAGGAGGAGGAGGAGCAGGAGGAGGTTGTGGAGGTGGAGGAGGAGGGAGGGGGGAATAACGTCACATTCGATTGTAAGCACGTTCCTGGCGTGGCGTCTGGTTGTTCGCAGCAGATCCTCACGTACATGTTTTTTTATACCTGTCCCATGCGCGCAGGCATTGTGGTGTACACCACTTCTGCGTTGCACGCGGATGCTGTGGTGTAGACACGCGCTGTGGCGTGCACAGGCGCTGCGGTGCACGCAAGCATTGTGGTGTACACAGGCGCTGTGTTGCACATGGTAGCTGCGGTGCACGCATGTACACCGGCGCTGTAGTGCACGCAAGCACTGTGGTGTACACAGGCGCTGCGTTGCACACGGTTGTTGCGGTGTACGCAGGCGCTGTGGTGTACACCCGCGCCGTGGTGCACGCGAGCGTTGTGGTGTACACAGGCGCAGTGGGGCATATCGCCACCTACATGCTGCTCGCGTCGTCGTCGTCGCTCGTCGCTCGTCGCTCGTCGCGTCGCCCGCGCGGGCGCGGCTGCGGTGCCGGAGCCACACGGCGGGGGGGGGCGTTACGTCATACCCCCCCCTTTCGCCCCCCCCTCCCTCTCATGACGCCCGTCATCGCCAAACATGAAGAAACGCGCTCCTCCTCCTCCTCATTCTTCTCCTCCTCCTCCTCCTCCTCGTCTTCCTCTTCTCCTCCTCCTGTTCCCCCTCCTCTTCCTCCTCCTTCTCCTTCTTTCTCCTCCTCCCCCTCCTCCTCATCTTCCTCCCTTGCTTAAGCCGATCTGGCTCAGGCATTTTGCCTGGGCGTGCGGTCGCCGATTCTCGAGAACGGCTGGGTGACCGCGAGCCTCGGGGCGAGGGCAGGCGACAGGACGACCGCATCCGCGGCAGGACGCTTGCCATCGCTCCGCATGTCAATTCTCGCACGTGGTATGGCAGTTACTGTGTGCATCGCAGGACGGGGCAGAAATTCTCCAATAAGCCTGAATTTGATCAGTGCTTCCAGTGTCGCAGGCCCAAGAGATCTTGCTTTCATTCTTCACGAGGAACCGGCTGAGTCCAGTAGGCACGCTTGTGAATCGCGGGGGCGTTCGGCAATGGCTGGTTCCAAGGCTGCAGGAGTCGGAGGATTAGACACACCAGGGGCCGACTCGACGGAACTGCGAGATGCTCAGGCTTCCATCCTCAATTTGGAGAAGGAGATTGCTTATTTTTCGCATCGTGACGAAATCATGGATGTGGACGAGCAGGATGCCAGCAAACGGGCTGGCCCAGACAACAGCTTTGATGAAGGTTGGGCACGTGCGAGAGTTGCACAGCTGGACAAGCAGATTTGCATTGCATCCACATGTTCTGGTGAAGCTTGAACTTTGCTGCACAAGTCGTTGGATGATGACCGGAGTGCGTTGTAACATTACATCACAAACAGGAAGCCATGCATTGCCCATATGTTCGTTATCACGCGTCAGATTTGAGAACATGGAGCAGCGCATGCAGAAGCAGCAGAAGTTTGCTGAGCAGCACAAAGAGAATCTCGAGACGCTGCAGAAGGAGCTGGCCAAGACGGAGCAATCCATCCAGGACGACCGCACCAAACTTGTTGAATTACGGGGCAAAGATGTCTATTCTACCGCCTGCTGGCAATGAGGGTGACGTGACGTTGGCTCATGTGCCCATTTCCGCGATTGGTTTCGATGCCAGCAAGTTGGGTGACATATTGCGTAGTCTTGGCGCCGGTGAGTTGGCAATGTCTATGGCGGCAGCTGTGCCTCCCAATGGGGGTTTTGACGATGACGATGATGCTGCGCGTGAGTTGGTTGTGCCACCAACCCCGCTGCCTGCGCTTCAGACGCCAGCGCCGCAGCCTGCTAGGCCGCGAGTGTCCGAGGTGGACATCGAGGGGCTCAAGGTCATGCTGGATGCGGCGGAGGTGCTGCCACCTGAAGATGAGCAAGATATGCGAGATGCAGCCATCAAGTTGCTTCGTGTGCGAGCGGTTGACAAGTTCCACGCGTTCCAGGCGCATTGCGTTTGTGGCGCGGGTCAAATGTAGGGTAATTCTGTCGAGCATCATGGCGTGCACCTACAAAGTATGACAAAGTCCTTTGGCGACGGCTGATGGAGTCAATGTCGCGGAGGCGTCGGACAGGGTGGCGCCTTCATCTCATCCACGTTTGTTTCGGCACGGGCTATGAAAAGCAGAAGTCAGGACGCGCCAGCGGCGCAAGTGCTGTTGATGAGATGCAAGTACAAGGATGTTGCATCATTGTTAATGCGGACAGCGCTGGCTACTTGTTGAGGCACGTGGACCAGGTTGGGTCCGTTGTCGCGTTGGCCCAGGGAATGAGCGCCAGTGAAGCGGGCATCCCCTCTTTGGCATCAGCCGTGAGAGATCGTGTTTGTCGCGGGCTGTATGCGCCCTCAGTTCGCATTGATACTGGAGGTTTGTCTGCTGGCGCGGCTGTGGCGGCGCCTGTGGAAATTTCTATTGCGGCGCCTCCTGGGCTCGACGCACTGATCATTCATGCTGGAAGGTACGTTGCAACGAAGGTTGCTGGGGGGTGCGAAGGTGGACTTGTCGCGATATCGGTATGCTTCCAGGACAGCGTGGGCGTGGATGAAGAAAGCCCGGCGCTGCTGCGCGCGTCGACGTGTTGCGTCGGCAGGCTTAGCGACGCGGGTGTCCCGTGGATTGTTAGCGGTGATTTGAACATGGTAGTATCTAACAAGTCGATGGGCAGGCTAAGCTAGATCACGCGCGCAGCCTCTTTCCGGCGCCCAGTATGCTCGCTTGCGTCGCCGCCGACAGCGCGGGGGGAAGTAGCCATCATTATTTTGCTGCTTCAGATAGTCTGGCCACCAAGTTGCAGGTTCTCTGCGCGGGAACGGCAACTTCCCAGTGCGTAAACCTGTTCATCTATCATGTTCCGATGGCGATCTCCCTCTTTGGCTGCGCGCGCCAGCGGGGCCCGTGGTCATGCCTAGGAAGCCGAGCGTTGGATGCCCGCGGCCGCCGCTGTCGCGGGATGAAGCGCCGCGGACGATCCGCGAGGTCCAGGACGTGGAGGGGCTGGCGCGTGGATGGGATCTTCTTACGGTTGCTATGCTTGAAGGCGAGCTGCTCCGACTTTCTGGCGCTGGGGGGGACCTCGCGCGGGCGCGCGAAGGGCGAGGGCGACCTGTTCGTGCCGAGTGCGTGCAGGCGAAATGGGCGGTGCCAAAGGTCAGACCCAAATTGTTCAATGTAGGTCTTTCCTCGGCCGCTGCGGCTAAGTGGGCCGAGCGCGTGATGTGGGCGCGCGCCCATTGGATGGTGCTGATGAAGGGGCACGGGTGCGTCGTGGGTTGTTCGAACGGTGGCAATGCGCAGTCGCTTGGCTACGTTTCGCCGTGGGCCGGGCGCGCGGCGCATGTCGTGGGCGATGGTGATGGTTGGCAGCCGGTGCCTGGCATGATCCAGGCAAGCACCGCATGGCCCCCGATGTCAGGAGGATCAGGCACGCTGAGCCCACGCAGAAGTTGATTACCCCACTGCAGGAGGTTGGCGGCTTCAGGATCGCGAAGCAGCCTGAGGCGACGAACTTGCTGGAATGCGAAGTCCAGTATTTTCTTTTGTCGGGCGTGCAGGTGCTTGACAGACATGGTTTCGAGGGTGTTTCTCATCGAGTTGTTGGGGGGCAGATGAGTACCGCGCTGAACTGGACATGGCCAGCGAACGACAGTGGCAATCATTTATGTTCGCGGCCTGTCTCCATGGCGGTGGCGAGGCACATGGAGTCGCCAGGTTGCAGGCTGTGCAAGACAATATCGTGGATGCACAGCGCGTGCAACCATTTCAGACGGCCGAT